ATTAAATGATAAGCTGATAGATCTCACTTGTAAACTTACTTGATAAAACATTCTNTTTTTTTTTTGCAAAAAGAATATACGAATGTTAAATTTATCTACATTGCACCGTGTATAAAAGTATGCAATTTTTGTTTTGTTCCAGGTTTCTCTCAGTCGAAGAGTTCGTTCTCAAACACAAGCCCAGGTAAGCTTTGTTAAAATACCTCGAAAGTACGCGTCATTGAAATGATATGTTTGAATCCTCATCTCAGCTCGGCAAGCTTCCAAATAATCGGGGGAAGGAACTCGATGTTCTTTCCATTTTCATCGAGAGATCACTTTTCACAGAATTTTACCAGGCGAATCCATAAACACGCGCAAACGACCGTGCAGATGTTATGACGCTTTTTCGCTCGAGTTATTCGCTCCACTCTTGCCACCGCATCTAACCCAGCGCTCGATATTTATCAGGAGTCTTGGATGCGCTTGCAAACAAAACGCTTGCCTCGTGAATGGGGCAAATTCACGATTTCACTTTCGAGAATCGAGATGGAAATTGAGAAACTAGCGTTTGCCTAATTCCCGCTCGTCAAAATTTCCTTCCCTCTCGAAATTTACGAGAGACGAGAAAAAGCGAAGTGTTAAGCGATGGGTTGCAAATTAGGATACGATAGTAACGAGCATCTTGATCGTGATGACAGGGGTACATCGTTCATACGATGACGTCATATGGACGAGAAGCGGGAAAACTGATTACGTATTCATGCCCGCGATGATTCCGATTTTTCCGAGCCATTAAGCCCCGCTCGCTTAACCCGCAGAACGATGTCGTTCGAAACAAGGGACGACAGGTTGAAAATCATCTCCTTGGACCGTATCCCCGTATATCGTGAACGGGGCCGTGTTTCGAAAACGCGTATTCTTTCCCGTGACTCAACATCCTCGTCCTCGGATGTTGGGGAATACGTAAATGGTGCACGATTCTCAGGTACGAGCAATCGTAAATAATTTCCCACCGACCCTTATATTAAATTTCTTGTCAAAATATTTCGAGAAATCGAGGATCCCCGCCACACCCTCCCCTATTCGAGCGCTAATCGGTAACGGGATACTTTCTTTTCTCCCAGAAACTTGATTCTATCTCCACGCCTACCGTTAAAAATCTAAATCGTTGCTCAAAGAGCAACGATTCCATTCTATTCCGAAAATCTCTTCTTTCCCTCGCGAGATACCGGTTCAGTTACATCCAATACATACCTTACCTTCGTTTCTCTCGAGGTAACGACAAAAACTCACGAGAATGCAAAGAAGATATATATATATATGGATGAAATAAAATAAAAGAAGGGAAAAAAAAGGAAAAGGAAAGAGAATCTTCCAATTACGAGAAATATCCTCGTTTCCGTGTTGAAAGTGCGTCGTTAAGACGGCATCCCTGGAAGACAGGGATTTTATTGGCCGGCATTTCCGTTGCGTCAGCGGAACGACGAACGGTTTGCCATCAGGATTACGAAGGATTCCGCAAGGAGGGAGGAAGGGAGGGAGGGAGGGAGAGAAAGAGAGAGAAGGTTTTCGTAACGAGCAGCTTTCCGACAGAATTGGTTGTTTTAACAACTGCGCGCCACTTTGA